AAAAAAAAAAAAAATACACATCATGGTAAAATCAATACATTCATCGCTCCGCTCAGAATCTAAAATAACTTTTAATATATCAACTAATAAATTACTATAATATTTTAAAACTTTAAATGATAACAAGTTACATCAGTTTTTATGTGAATCGGCAAACTTTTTATTATTTTGTCAATATMTATTGATTTTGATCCACGTACGTGTTTCAATTGATATGATGCTTAAATTTGTATGGTTAGTACCTAACTATTTCTTAAATAGCTTTTTAGTCGTAATGCAGCTGATGACATGGATATAGTTAAGTAATAATTATTATAGATCGTAATTTATATGTTTCTAAAAATGCTTTTAATATTCCTTAAGAGGACACCATTTACGCATATTTTGTTGTCTCAAACTTAAAAACGTGTAACTGTTACATTGTACGTAACATWTCAAATTTACGCTCAGCTAGCAGTTCACGTCTTCTTCCGTTAGCTTAAAAATTAGAGTGAATTGACCTATTATTATCTGCATAGGCATGCGCAGACCTTGCTGACAGGGGGGGGGGCAGAATGTATATATTATATACAATTGTATTATAATATATAGAATATTATATATACTATATAATATATAATTGAATATTAGTTTGGTTATTAGTGTTATTGCCGCGTATCTCACACATTATCAACGCGGTATCGATTGTGGCTTGAACAAAGTTGGACCTTAGACAACACAAAATTATCGTGCACCTTACACTCAATATTTACAACATATAAATTGTTCATTGACTCATTGTAATGTTTTTTTTTAATAAAACCAAATTTGGGAGAAAAAAAGTAGCCCGCAGGAGGGGCCAATTCCCATCCTACCCCCCCTCGTTCGAACGCCTATGAATATAATATGTGTTTTGTTAAAAGTTTTTTTACGATAATTTAGTTTTTAAGTGAGTTATGCGAGTATAATAAATTGTTAAATAAAATTGCTAATAACTTACTTAGAAACTGAATTATCGTAAAAAAACTCCCAACAAAACACAGATAATGTTCTATTAACTATTGTTTGTTTAATAACGATTTATGGATTTTTGTAATCTTTTTAATTCCGATTTTAGATTTTTATGTTACCTAAATAAGCTTGTGCAAAGGAATAAGTATAGTGTTATATGTTAAAAATGTAGTTAAAGATCTTGGATTATGATTTTGAGCATTTATCCCGCTGATCATATCAGAATTATCACCAACAATTCTCTATCTAATTCATTTGTTATTTTGTCCAAAATACTCGAATAATACATAATATCTCGAACTGAATTTTTATCCCCCTTCGACTTCGAGTTATCGCGACTCGACTGTATTTTGTGTTAGGTTGTACAACATCATAACTTAACATCATCATAATAACAAGTCTCGCGGGCAGTCATAAACTCACAACACTCCCTAATGGCGTATTCAAGGGATTGGAGGGGGGGGGTAATGGGCTTAATCCCTCCATAAAAATTATTTGTCCCTAACATGTTTTTATTAATTTTAGCAGGTATCAGCTTAAAATTCTGTAGATACATAGTATTTAAATATAAAATACTATTAATATTT